TGCCGCTATCGGACTTTACTCCGTTGCAACTTTCCGTCTTGTTCCGCTCGCATCCAACCGAGTCCGTAATAATGCAACCTTCCAAATAAGTTAGCCGTTGACTTGCTTATCACAAAAATATCATGTATTCGACGGGTTCGGCAAATCGCTTCGGCTGCCTTTGCATCCTTACAAATTATTATTGCATTTGACTAGAGTTTGTTGCCAATCACTGCCGAACGTGCCTTCCTCTCTCGAATAACGGAGCTCGAATAATATTGCTGATGAAGATGAGCTTGGCAGTCGATACGTAAAGTCAATACGTAAAGTAATATCAAAGTCAAGTGAAGCCTGTACAAATGAGTCGCGCTAAATAGTAAACGGCTAAAAAACAAAAGAAAGTAGAAAAGGTGGCTCCGTTCTCGCGTGCAGCGCTCGGCGCTGGAGGACTCAAGGCGCCTGCTTCTCTGCATCCCCTCTGATCCCTTGGGCGCTTGCATCCGCACTTTCAGGCGCATCGCCGTTCGGCTTGTCGACGCGCTCCCACTGCCACTGACCCTCCAACGGCCGCTCCGTCGCGAAATCGAAGTTCCACTTGGCTTCTTTCTGCGGAACACAGGCGAATCACAGAGATGGGCTTCGTCAGCCGGTGCTCCTGCCGGCCAATCTAGTCACCTCTTTCAAGTGCTGCGCTCGCTCTTGCGCAAACGCGCCCTCGAGCTCGGCTCTGCTCGGCGCGCTCTCCGCAGTGGCGTCGCCGTCGTCGAAAACCAGCCTCCTCCGCGCGGCCCGCAACTTGGCTTGGCGGCTGCCTGCGCTCTCGTCTGCCATCGCGAGGCGCGGACCCTGCAACAGCGCTCGCCAACGCGAGATAAGTCGCCTCCGCCGAACAGCAGCGCCGCGACGCGACAAGCGCGCTGGCCAAGGTGTTTAGGTGTTTACGGAACGCGGCGTGGCTGGCGCGACACGTGCGCGCGATAGCTAACGAGCGCGGAAACGCACAATAAGAGATAAGCCGAGGCTGGCGCGTGCAGCGATAAACTTTTCCGCGCGCGCGTCGGGCCCAAGTTTTCGGGGCGGCGAAGCGGCCGCGAGTGGAAGCTCGGATACTCACGGTGCAGCCACGTCCTTCGTGCGACGCTCGCGTCGTGCCAGCCGAAAGTCGATGGGGAAGCCAGAGCCGATAACCTTGCGAGGAGCTCGGACACTAGCTTCAAGCGGTGCTCGTCGCTTGGTCGCCGGGCGCAGCGGTAGCGAGAGAGAGAGAGAGAGAGCGAGCGACGCGAGGCTAGGCCGGTCGGCGCTCGCGACTGCGCGCCTCGCCGGCTGCTAGGTTACGGCCGGGATCGATAATCGAGCCGGGGGTTGACGCACGCACGCGTACCGCGGGGCTGCGGCGACGCGACGGCGCTCGCACGGCCACGCAGCGCCGATTTAAAGGCTCGCGCGGCGGTGCCGTTAACTGGCGTGTGCCAGCGAGCAGCGGTGCCGTCCCCACTCGTCCGGTCCTCCCGCGGCGCGACTGCACCGCTGCATCCGCCGATAGGCCGAACTCTCCCGTTGACGGCTCTATCGCGGGGACATTCAACTCGAGCGAGCCGTTCCGGCGCCTGCCGATCACCGCGTGACGCGCGCTTCCGCGGGATCTCGCTCGCAAATCTCTGCCGCGGGATCGTGAGACCGGTCGCTTATTCGGCGTCGCACAATGGCTGCTTTGGCGTGGGAGGCCGCGGCGAGAATTCGCGCAGGTGCCTGAGTTCCCCGACGCCGCCTCTCTCCCGTCCACGGCGGCGGCGGCTCGTGCGCTCGATCGCACGTTCAACGTGCACCGAGCTCGGCGACCTCGAACCTGCTCTTTCGTCGACGACTCGGGCAACGAGTCGATTCGCTTTGTCGAAGGCAGGCGCGCACCTGAGAATCGTGTCGCGCCGGCAATTTATTCCGAGGCACGAATCGGCTGCGCTGCTCTGTTCACTTTCATGCGCGGACTTGCGTCATCGTCGCGCTGCGACTCTCGTAAACACGCTCGCGGAGCGCGCGCAGCGCCAAGCTGAATACCCGACAAGGTCGCCGCGGAACGGCCAGTGGCGAGGCGCACGCCTGCTCGCAGCCGCGGGCGCGCCGAATCGAGCGCGAGCGCGCGGCGGCAGCGGAAGCGGGTGGAAGCGGGTGGAAGCGGGGGGCCGGGGCGAAAATGGGCTGGCGCGCGTCGGCGAGCGGCCGCCGAGATGCATATTCATTTGCCGGCCGCGCGCTTCGGCTTGCGCGCAGGCACGCGACGCTCCACTCTGGACTGGAGGCCGGCGGCGCATATGCCACTTCCTCGCGCGGGCTCGCATATGCTGAATCTCGGCCGGTCCGCGCAACTGTCGCTTCCTGCCCGCACTCGCCAACCTTGAAATTTATTCCGCCGCGCGCGAGAAATCCTGGCAACGCCTGCGGCCGGGCGCAAGCGCGAGTAACCGCCGCCCGGTCGTGCCTCCAGGCGGAGCGCGCCTGGCCTCGCTCGGATCCGCCGATCCGAAATGTCGCCGCGACGATAAGCATCTGCCCCGAGTCCTCGCCGCGCCCGCGCCGGAGAGGCGTAGGCCAACGACTCGGATAATTTGCAGTTGCGCTTCTCGCTCCGCGGCGCGAGGCTGCCTCGCGCTGCACCCGCAACGGCCCTCGCGGGCGCGCTCGAGCCTCCTCGCCCTCTTCCGTTGGCTCGGCTTGGCCCTCCGACGTCCCGTCGAAACGCTCGCGCCGATGCTATCTCCGCCGCGCGCGCCGCTGCTGCCCCGCGGACGGACGGTCCCTGGCGCGCTGCGAGCGACGATTCGCCACTTCCTGCGACAACTGGGCATCCGGGCGCGTTCGAGAGCCCAGCCAATGGAACTCGTCCCACGCGCGACTGCTCTCCGACGCCGAATTACAGCTGTAAGGGGAGCGTCGAGCGGCCTCCGCGGAGCTGCGCACCGATTCGAGCGTGGCTCTCCTGCCTTGCCGTTTCTCGGCCCGTCGTTTCCACTAATCGACCGGCTCTCGTCGGCCCGACGCCCTCCCTCGATCCGTTGCCTTCTCCTCGCAGCCATCGCGACGCCAACGGTTCCTCCGCCAACGCCTCAACGTTGGGAACTCAAGGTGTTTGGAATAGAAGCAGGCGCTCGCGGATCGCGCCGCGGACTGCATCTCTGTTCGTGTCTCTGCAGCAGCTGCAGCGCAACGTTGATCGCCAACGCTCGCCAACCGCATTCGGGTCGGTCCCCCGGCTCCGGTATCGGCGGCGCATCGAGCAGGAAGCTCGGCCCCGGCAACGAGAGGCAGAGGGCGCGGTCGATGTGGGCGCATTCAATCCGGCGCAGAATTCAAAACCGCCTGGCACAAGGGGAAATCCAAGCTGGAGCTGCGGCAGAAGATCGGTAACGCAACACGCCCAAGCCCCGTATGCAAGGCTGCTCGGGGAGCCGCGGTGGCGCGCGCCCGCAGCCGTGTCTCGGGTTTATCCTCGGCTCGTCGGGTTATTGGGTTATTGGGTTGCCGAGTGCCTGTCGCGCCGCAGCTCAGCGTGACCGGTGGCAAACGGTGTCAAACTGTGGCCGTCCCCATAGCCTGCTGCTGCTGCCGCTGCTGCTGCTGCCGCTGCTGCTGCTGCCGCTGCTTTCCGGGTTTCGTTCTACGCCGAGTCGGACAAGACGCGCGCTTTCCTGCGGTTCTCCAAGTGCAGCGATGATTCGAGACGCTCGCGATAATCATTTGGCGGTTGGACCTGTCAACGTTCGCTCGTGGCCCCTCGGCGACCGAGCGTCGAGCCTCGCTTCGCCGAGCTCATTGTCGAGTCTTCCGGGTGGCGTAAGTCACGCGAGTTTATTCGAGAAGCGCGCATCAGCGCGAAAGAGTTGTCGCCTCGCCGTGATTTAAAGTATCGCGCGCGAGGCAAGAAAGGACCGGAGGCCATTGCGATCTCATCGCTCGCGCTTCCACCGAGAGCTACCATCCACGGGGCCTGTCCTCGCTCTCGCTCGTGCTTGGCAATCGTTCGCATAAATGCGCGAACCTCGTCGATGCTACGCCGGCTCGCGAAAGCTCGGCCGCGGCGCGAAGCCAGATGCGGCCCAACGGAGGTGCGAAGCGCGAAAGGGCTGTCAAAGGAGCGCCTGTGAAGCGATGCATTTTATAGAGTGTGTCTAACTAGAGCGGAGAGCGAGAGAGCGGGGCAAAAGGTGCGGTCTGCTCGATGACTCGCCGAAAACGCGCGCGCCCGTCGCGAGCCGCGTGCACGCCGAGGTCCCGGCCCCGGTCCCGGCCCCGTACCCCCCGACTGCGTTTCGTCTCGCAGCTTGTTTTTTTAGGACGTTTTATCCACTTTCACGGGTTCGTTGATCCGCTCTTGTACAGGCGATCAATTTTTATGAGGCCCGAGCCGGGCCGATCGACGACCGACGTCTGTTGCAGATATCGGAGGATGATGGAGCGCCTGGCACGAGCGCCGGCGGCCCTTTCTGCCCGCGACAGCGACGGAGAAAAAAGGAGGCCGGCCGATGATCGATCGGACAGCGGAGCACGCGCGCACCTTCGTGCCTAACGTTCCTTTCGATTACGCCACCGCAACGTCACACTCTCGCCGCGCGCACTTCCTCTTTACGCTACATTGAGGCCAACTCACCCGGTCTCCCCGTCATTCTCGTTCGACACACTTCTTCTTTTCACGCGAATTCATCAGCCCGACTGCTGTAACGAATGCGCCGCGTCGTGTCTTCACCGCTCCTCCAGTTCCGTTTCCGAGTGCATTTCTGGCAGGGCGCTCGTTGCCAAACTGTCCTTCGACCTGACGTCGGCAAATTCAAAACGGTCGCTCGAAACGGCAAAGTTCGAAATCGCTCCAAGCCGAAGCCAAGAGGCGACAGCGAGCCAGTCGGAAGGCGGGAAGGCGGGAAGGCGGGAAGGCGGGAAGGAAGAAAGGACGGACGGACGGAAGCGAGCGCTAAGGAGAAACCAGTTCGAGGTGACGGGACCAAGTTTATTCGACTCCCAGTCACAGTTTACTCGTGATACAACCCAAAGACCAGGCAATTAGCGACGAACGTTGGTGCCTCGAAGGTGCAGCTGGAGTATCGATCTCGTTGGCTGTCCCACAAAAATCCCAGGGACGCTTGGACCGACTGGCTGGCCTTCTCCACGATGCTCACGATCACGACCACTTTGCACCTGAAACGAAGCGTCGCGGGCGTGATCGCAGGCTCGCAGTGCCAGTGCCGGCCGCGGCGCCACTCCGAGTCCCCTCCCCCCTCACCTGTCGTACTTGAGCTCCTGGACTCTCTTCTGGACCTGCGCCGCGATGCTGGTGCACAGCCCCGGGCTCTCCTCGCTCCGGTAACTCAAGCCTTGCATGCTGTCCTTCAGAGTCCTCTCCACGAGTCTGTCCACGACCTCCGGCTCGAACGGCTCGTCCGAGCGCAGTCGGTAGCTGTTCTGGTAGCTGTTCTGGTAGCCGGCCGGCCGGGGCCTGCTGCGGTCGACCGGAGCATGCAGCGCGGCGAGCGGGGCCTGGACCGCGTCGGGGCCCGGCTGGTCGCTGTCGGGGAGCTCGGCGGGCGCCGGCGGCGTCGGCAGCGGCGTCGGCATGGCTCTGCTGCCCGTCGCGGCGCCGCGCCGAGCCGAGGGCGGCCGGCTTGGCAACCAAACAGACGGATCGATCGGGCACGCGCCGCGCGACCCTCGTTCGCGGAATCGGGCAGCGCCGACGCCAAGCGGCTGCGAGCGCTGGCCGTTGCCGAGTGAAACGCTCGGAGGCGTGTGCGGCTGGGCCTGCGGCGTGAATTGAAAAGGGCTCCTCGGGCGATATGGGCTAAGCGATCGGCGGGCGCAGCTGCGCCTCGCGGCCTGGCTGTACGTCCTCGCTCCTCGCTCCTCGGCACCTTGTAATTAGCCACGCCGGCGCACCCCCGCGAGAGCTGCCCTCGACCCACCTATGCTTACGCTCCAGCTGAGTGGCAGCCGCCTTGGAATTGCGCATGCCGAGCGCTCGTTCAGCTGCTCCGAGCGCTCGCAACGCCGATCCAGCTAGTTCGCAGATGCTTTCGACTAGCAAATCTCGCGGATCGTTGGTGCACCGCTTACCAGCCTCCCATTCATAGCCAATCGCGCTCGCCCATTACCACTTCCGGTCTCGAGCTTCGCTTCCAATTATATTGCCGGCCCGGCAACGCCTCCTCGCGCTCTGTCTTACGCCAGTGCGCATTGCTCCTGTAGCAATGGTGCAATGCAGCCTCCCTCCAGTACTCCTCGCTTTTACGTTCATCCCATCGTAACGCACATTCCATAAACGCTCCTCTATTCTTTTTCCCTGTTCATCGTCCACTCGTTTCCCATTGTCTCCATCAGTTTCCTAACCGATTGCTACATATCGATCTGCACAGTGTCGTCACCCGGTGTAGGGATGCACGTACTCGATTCGAATCGCAAATAATTCAATTTCATATTTACATTCACAGTCTACATTCGGTTAGCTAGTACGATTATGAACAGTTAAAAAACCGCGTTTGTATAATCACACTAAAGTATATTGTAGATCCAATATTCACAAGTTGATTTTCGAGGCCTCTTACAAATATCTTACAAATATTTTATCATTATAGAAACTTACCTGGCTGTACGTACATCGACTTGTGCGTTCATAATTTAAAAGGTCAACCGATTAACATTTTAAACTAACATAATTTGCCCAAGTAACTGCAATATAATGCAACATCACGATCTTATAATTACTGTGAACTAGATGGATATAGAAAATATTTTATAATGAATGAAAATAAACTAATTAAGGCAGATTGCACAGCAATGTATATCAAAGACACGCTGAGTGAGTGCCGAGGTGAGAGCATTTGCGCGATTAAAGAATATGCTCATTTACAAATACTGCTTTCCAAAAATATAGCATGTAAGAAGGATTACGTTCTGAGATCTTTTTGCAAATGTAAAACATTGCAAATACAAAAATTTATTGTTAATTTGAAAAAAGATTCTAATTCATTTGATAGTCGGTCATTTCAATACGAAACATTCAACTTCGAACCTTGTTTTAAAGGTATCAGAAAACCAGGTAATAGTGATAAAGAATATTCTTACATAAATAATCCTTTTTAGAAACAGATTACCTCCAGTACTAATCTTATCAATTGATAATAATCGATTCCACTGATCATTATTCTCTCATATTTAGCATAATAGATATCGTAATATTGAATCAACTGATCATAAATGCTTCAATTATAAACAATTAAAAACTTAGTTAGCAAAGTTAATTGAAACGAAACACTTTCCAATGGTTCAATAAAGACAAAAAGATCAAAATAAATATACCGAAAAAGAATTAGATAACAAAAGCCATTATGCCGTGTAATAATAAAGCACAATAATATAAAATATTGACGTCGCAACCAAATATGTAATCATTAAAAAGAAATGACTAAAGTTATAGTAAACTACTTAATAAAGTTATCAAAGATGAGGAAAAGGAACGATAAACTAGTGTTTCAACAATCCCGAAAATCTATATGGCGAATTATAAATTAAAAATTAGTACATTTGATATAAAAAAGATAAATATTGAATACTTAATTGATAATAATAATATTAAAATAAAAATCAAATATAATATAGTTGAATATACATATGGACAAGTATTTCCGTACTCTTTAAAGTAAATTATACGTATAATTAGGAAATCCCTAGTCAAACCAGAAATCTAATACTATCAAAGATGAGTGATAAGTCTATTTTTATCAGTTTATTACCGATGAACATGAAAACAAATTACATATCAATAGAACTAAAGTTAATGCTGGGAATGTTGACAACATTAGTTCTAAGGCAATCAGATTAATTTTAGATGAATTTGCAATGGACTATATGATTAAATAATAAAAAATAATTTCATTTCGAATAAACAATATTAAAACAATTGACCGCTATTAGTAAGAGTGTGTCTATGATTGTAACTGTCCTAGATTTGAAGCTAAAGCCTACGATACGGATCACAAAATTTTGTCACAAAAACTTCATAGATAAGGCACTATAGATGTATTGCATATTCTTTACTCAGTTATTAATGCTCGGGAAGGTAACAAAAAGAGTAAGAATTATAAATGGTTCTAGCTGCAATTTAGATATAGACGTTTCGCAAGTATACAATCCTGGATTCACTTCTATTATATATATATAATTTGCTCTTCGAAATACCTACAAATTTTATGTTTTAAGTAACAGTTATAATGATGATGAATGGCAAAACAATTCTAAAACTAAAAAGATATTTAAATTGAAAAAGTGATAAATTAGACGACTAGAATTTATAATTAGGTTAATACAAACACATAGGCAAGATATCATTTATACACTTTTAGAAATTAAATTGAAAATTCATCATATACTGTTAAAGAGAGTAGAAAGCTTGTAAATATTTAAGTATAATTATCTACTTCAATCTGTAATAGAATTTCCACTAAATAGAAATAAATACTTAACTTTTATTTTGTATGAATTGGTAAAAACTAAATACAAAAATATTACTGTCTGTATACCATGCTTATTTTCAAGGCGTATGTTGACTTGTAGGATCGTTGACTGCACTATAATTATAATATATACAAAACAAGTTGTTAAAAATTATAAGTAAGAAAACATTTGTAAAAGTACGATAATCATCCCTTAAGTCTGTATAAAAATTTACTATCCACTTTTTTACTATTATGAAATTTCTAAAAAATACTTGTGTAAATTCTCATAGCAGAGAAAAACAATCAGAAGTATACAGTTGCCAAATTTTTAAAACATTAGCAATCGAGATATTAAACTTATTTCCTCGAGTTAAATACTTTAACAGCTTGTTAGTTTCTAAACTATATTAAAAAATTGAAAAATTGGATCAGAATTGATATGCAATAATTTATATTTTTATTTATATATTATTCTTAAATTATAAACCATAGTAATTAAAAGATTAGCTATTAAGATTGTTTTATATATTTTTTTATTCAATTACCAACCCTCCGCACATGATCTTAAATAAATAGTATAAATAAATGTGAAAAAATTAATAAACTTTGTTCAACTTAGGAACTATTTGTAATATTTACAGCTATTTCACCAAGGTTATTCTTAATTCTAATTAATTTGATGTAACGATTTCACTGGTCATAACTATTTTAGCCAAAACTATGCGGTAAAAAAGATAGGAGCTCATATTTAATAATTCGATAATTAAATTAATGACAGTTGATTAAGCGTATATTTCTTTAAAAAAATGAATTTAATTGAAATCTAGTGCTTTTATGGTCATAAACTATAAATGAGCGAAAAGAAAGGTCGGGATTGGGTGGGATACTAATGATGTCAATAATAAACGTCAAATTTTATATAAAAGTTTAATAGTTTATTTAATAAATTTATCCTAATCTAGCGTTGACTAGAGCGTTTTCTTTCTCTATAGGTAGCAATAAAGATGGACACAGGACTTTGTACTTGCTCCAAGTGATTTAGAACGCAAGCACTCGATAACATAAAATAAACATTAATTAGTCTTTGGAGGCGCTGCATTCGTCGCTCCAAACTGGGACCGACACTTTCAGGCTTCCTGTAAAAACCATCATACAAGGTCGGTTAAGTATATTTCCCTCGATAAAAGAATTATAAAAACAGGTTTCGCACGCTCCGCTTCGACTATCGATTCCGGTAAAAGGACTTTACGATGTCGTCTTGCTGAAATCGAAGTCTCCGCACGTCTGCATTCATCACCAAACGTAATCCCCTCATGTCCTTTCATACATCATTATATCATTAGTTTTTATTGAATCGACAAGTAATCATTCAGTTGACAAAACTAAACGATACAATGTTTCACGTGATATCGTTACTTTATGTATTAACTCTCACTAGTGGTCAGCACAATATTACTTATTAGAGCCCCACCCTGTCATACACCAATAGTTGAAAATAATAATAAAAAAAGAAATCATATGAACTAAATATCAAACGCAAATCTAGCCGAAAGCCATAATTATTGGTGTAAGATAGAAAACTATACAATGTTTGTTTTTAAATATATAACCATATCTTAAGAATCGTAGACCAAACACAATTGAATTATCCAATGCAAACGAAGGGCTTCGCGTTCTTTCCAAAGAACCATTCGGTATGAGAGTCAGCGAACATTGTAACAAAATTTAGCAGACGGATCTTTGGGAAGAGAGAATACAAAGCGAGTAAAAAATGCGTAGTCTGATTTTGTTGACCTTCCACGAGGCTGTAGGCCTAAACCTCCATTATCCACGCAACATATTTACAAAGGATTATATGAGTTTTGGTTGACGTTAATGCTATTAAAAGGTGATTGGTTCCGCTAGGGTTACACATGTTTAATTATAGTGATCGACTTGGGGCGAAACGCGATCGTTCGCGCGTTTGGCCAATGAACAGCCTAGGTATACGCACATATAGTCTACCAGTAATGTGACATACGATATGTATAATATAATCGAGCAATAAATATACATGTAGCGACGACTGATTTCCGACACGCACTCCGTCGGAAATAGGATAACTGGAATTTAGTTTCTAGTTCGAACAAAAGGATCTAATTCGCCGACGGTTGCACATTGTCCAACTGTTTGTCCGCCTGCTGCATGTCCAGCAGCAGCAGCGCGGGCGGCTGCTGTGCCTCGTGCGTCGACGACGGAGCTCGTGGCTCCAAGGCTTGCCCCTGCAGAGGAAGCTGGGCGCGCGTCGGCGGCAAGCTCAGCGACGACTGCATCCGCGGAGGCGACTGTTCCGGCGCTGGCCTCGGCGCGTCTGGGCAGGCGGCAGCTGTACTGCTTTTTCCGAGCTCGTACGCCTTGCGCGAGCGCCAGTAATCTGCAAGGAAGAAAGCGAGCGTTGGTTCGGTGCGAAGGCAGAAGCAGCGACAAATCGAGGGAATGGAAAGGAGCGCCGGGAACGCGGGAGAGCCGAGAGCCATCCATCGCCGGGGCAAGTCGCGCGCGCTCCTTGCTCCTCGGGGCGTTGCACCCGAGCGCATCTTCCTCGGACTGGTTCGGCGTTGGCTGCGTGGCTCGTGCCGCGCCGAGACGGGTGGCAGGTGTGCGGCCGCGCGATCTTTCTACGGATTCCCCGTAGCGGCGGTTTCAACGGTCGACGGCTCCTCGGCGGCTTCTCGGCGGCTTCTCGGCGGCTTCTCGACAGATTTTTGCCGAGCAGGTGTTGCGCTCTCTCGGAAATTCGGACATCTCGGCCGAGAGAGGCAGCCGGCCATATGCCAAGCAACATCCGCGCGAGTTGGCCTGGTGCTCCATCCGAGGAGGCGCAACGGTCGCCGCCATCTGGCGCGACTGCTCGCGCGACTGCTGGGCGGCTTTCCCGGTGCGCTGGAAAAGATCCGTTCTTGCACTGGACACGCGGACACTTCGCCTCGGTGCGCGAACGGCTTTCTGCCGGCTTTTCCCTCGCGCGGGATACCGTCGCTTTCTTCGAAACTTGAACTTTACGCCGGAACTGGACGCAGCTGCAAGTCATTGCGAATCGCTAGGCCAAACGACGAATGACCGCGCGACGACGAGCCGGGCGCTTGCTTCTATCGGCGTTCTTCGGCTATTGCTGTTAAGCGCTTTTACGACCGGTTTTATCTCTCAAGACACGAACTCTCGCTCGAAAGCTCGACGACTCGACAACGTTCACCCGATCTGCAGTCTAGAGGAAGCGTGGGAAACTATTATCGAGCCTGCAAATCACGGCGCTACCAGGCACAAGGTAGGCAAGCTTTCCCGAGCAAAGCGCAAGAGAGAGCAGCAACCACGGCCACTAGATCGCTGATAAGCGGCTGAACTCGAGCGAAGGAGCGACAGCTGGTGCGCGACCTTGCAGCGGCCTCCGCGCCTGATTTAATCGTGGGAAAAAGACGAGTAACAGGTGTCGCGCGCGATAAAGGGGGAGAAGCCCGGCGGCCCGGCGGCGCGGCGGCGCGGCGGCGCGTTGTCTCGCTTCGTTGATCGTTGCTAGGCGAGCATCGTTGCTCGCGATCGTGCCACTCTCCGATCGGTTCAAGATCGCCGAGTACCGCTCCAAGAACGCACTGCCGAATATCCAGTTGTAACTAGTCGAGCCCTTTTGACGAATCGGGATTCGACGCGTGCACGGCTCTTTGTCCGACTCCCCTCCGGCCCTCGCTCTCCCAATGACTCAGGGCACGAGCTCTTATTCGTCTCGACAAAAAACACATTCCAAAGACACCAAGATCGGACCGAGTCCGCAGGGGCTAGACGACGCCGAAACGGGCACACACTCATCGATCGGATGACTAATTCCCCGCCCGACACGTCCTCGCGAACGTGCTCCTCCGGATATTTTACTTTTCCTGCTAACGTTGCTTCGATTTTCTCGTTTAATGTCTATCGTGATAGTCAACTTGAAACGCGCAAAAGTCTACGTATAAGCGATTTGCTTTAACAATAAGGCTTCAACTGTTTCCGGTCGATCAATTTGCTCACAGATGACTATAGCGATATTGCTCTTCTTCCACTAAGCAACGAACATCTTGCCTTTCAAACTATGCGTGCATTAGCATTAATACGCAAGCCTCTATACAGCCGATTAACCATACTTATTTTTCTCTAAAACATTTATAATTTGCAATAAAACAATTTGTAAATATCCCTGTTGTTTTTAAGATACTCCATGTAAGAATAACGAGATTATAAGCTTTAAAGCACGTGCGTAAGACGAGAAGCCAAAACACTTCCCCAGTCTTTCTCTCTCTCTCTCTCTCGATTGGACGGTTAAGAAAACAAAAAATATGATCGATTTCGAAGCTTCGAATAGATAGGTACGCGCAGATATAGACAAAAAAAGGCAAAAGAAGCAAATTAAAATATACACGAGTGCCAGAGAGGTAAACGATATCGCACGAGTAAATCGTAGACAAATATTAGCCCCTGCAAGATACTCGTCCGTCAAACTAGTCTAACCGTTACTGTGACTTTCCCGCCAAAATCTCATCTACCTTCCCCTACCCTGCTGTTGTGCGATGATGCGCCATAAACACGCTCACGACACTTCTATCGCATGCTCTCTAGTTAGTCATTATGCTTTTCGCTTCTTTCGGGATGCCCGCCATTTCTCTATTTCATCATCCACGTAAAACACTATTTTCTTAATATCGCTTGTCAGACTCTCGGTTATTGTATTATTTTACAAAGCCATTCGCGATAGAAAATAAACAACCGAATAACCAGAGATTACGTAAACAAAATATACCACTTGAGCAATAAATAAAAACAAAAAAAGCCAAGTGGAAACGAAAGACCCAATAATTTTTAGTAATATACACCGACACGAATTACACTGGGAAGGGGAAAATGATTTTCACCCAAATTACTTAGTTGACTTAGCGTTCCAACATTATGGATTGCGCTTCGAACACCACGTGCGTCACTACACACATACGCCATTCGCCGATACTTATATGTATGTGTTGTACCTACGCACGCTGTATCGCACAACCTTCGAAGGAGTTAAGTCACGTGTTTTTTCTCTCTTGGCGCGCGCGGGATTTTATTTCATAAGGCGCGTAATTATTTTTTTAGTGAAATGTTGACGATTGCGTTAATTTCCAAAGAAGAGAGTAAAGATAAGTACATGCAATGTAATAATAAACGAGTATAATAATGCTAAAGTCTAGTAAATGTTTAGACAATTAACAATAAATTATGGTTGTCGAATTTAATTGCTGAGAAAATAATCGGAACGAGCGCATTTAATGCAAGTAAATGGCGAAAGTGCTCGAAAAAATGATAACAGGAAGAGTGTCAGAAGGAAAAGATCGAAGTAAGTAAACCAGAAAAAAAGAAAGAAAAACATCAAAGCTACTTATGTATAGACAAAAAATGGCGTACGAGGGAATAAAGGCGATGAATGAAAATTAGAAAAAAGAAGGGTACGTAACATACCGTGCATGCTTCTCTGCTTGGTGTAAGGACTGCAACGCTTATTCAGCATACCTTTGGCGTTGCAACCTTGTGGTCCGTTCTCTTTGTCATCGTCTTCGGCGAGTGGATCGATGGACCAGCGCCTCTGGAAGTGTGCCCTCTCCTGATCGAGTGTGTCTTGCAGTAGCTGCACGCTGTCTTTGCTTTCGGGAGATCCAAAAAGATTGCGAGGCACGCGTGTCTTCATGTTCATGCGCATTTTTTTGGCAATTACGATGCTTAGGTGAAACTCACGGTACATTTGTGGCGGCAGAAGAATCATCTTGATATTATCAACTTGCTTATGCTCTGCTAGTATTCAAAAAGTCCGCGAGCGCGTGCGCAACACCACACGCGTCCTTTGCTCTAACGTACTTTTTCAAATTGCGTAGACGTACGAACTCGAGTGGCCTGTTGTATCTGCTGTTTGTCAAATGATGCTACGAACAATGAACTCGAGCTAAGGACGAGTCAACGACACGCTACGGCGGCAGAGTTTGCCTAAGACACGAGAGGTAAAAGAGGACTGTTAGCTGTGTACTAGTACGAGTTTGGGCAGCTTCTGAGCCGTGCGGAGAGTTGAGTGTCTATACGAGCCGCTGGCATCGAGCAGCCAAACGCGCACACACCAACGTGAGGCGTCCTCTCATGCCAGCAACGATGCTGAAGCAAGCCAGACGATGCGAGTGCAGCGCCAACAGCCAGTCTCTGCCCCTCCGCGCTCCTCACAGCCACTGCCGGCGGCCGGCCCCACTCCCAACACTTTTGATTACCATTGGCGCGCGGCGAGGATGCGCGCTGGAAAACGCGCGGGCTTTTGGCCAACGTATTTAGCTTCGGCCGGCGAACAAGATTCGAAAATGGGCAAATGCCAAATGCCATAGCCATTACCAACAAAGATAAACGCTAAGTGTTACTGTCATGGGTTAATTTGTGTGTTTGGTTAATGGAATTTTCCTAACGATCGGAGGCATTATTTTTTTCTTCGATTTTGTCAGGCCATCGGCTAATTGAACATCATACTTTTCTACACAGCTGTATGAAAGTTTTCAAGGCATGCTAGCTCAGTTATTAAATTGAAATTGATTGTAAATATTGATAGATTTCGTTGCAATGAATGCATCCGGCATTGTATCTATAGAATTTAAAAACAGTGATAGATTATGTTAATTGCTGAGTGACGACCTTCACTCGCTTTTTATAATTATAGCTTGAAGTAACCACATTGGTTTACTAGCACAGTGGTTTGTTTTTTGAAATGCTTCCGGAAGTGAATAAGAATAGGGAAGCGGTGCGCGGTGAAAGAATATCGGAGTTGTGTGCAATTTATGTTCACTTGAAAAGACAAGTGTGTCCTAGAAGTACGCTTTTCCTTGCGCACAACCATTCTTGCTGTCCCTATTGTTTTTCTCTTTTTTCACGCTCTCTTTGTACTTTTCCCACATCAGTACCTATATATTCCTTTTGCCTACATTTTCAAGTATTTATTGATTCTAGATTTTGGAAAACAACGGTTTATTATTGGAACAACAAATGCTCTGCATCTACGTCAACTGGAACTGCCTATTTACATGTAAATCCATAATTCGCCGGCTAACATACATCGATGCAAACATCATTGAGATATTAGCGAAGATTTGTTCAGTTGTAAAAACAGCGTGAAGTGACATTGTCTATGCAGCAGATCAGCAAGTGCAAGGGCACGGATGTATAGCACTGGGCGTCGATGGCAACGCCAATGATATATAGTTCTTCGATTGCTCAGTGGGAGGTGGAGGCGCAGTGATCTGGAAAGATTTGTGCAATTTTTCACGCTTAAATTTGTTTGAAAAATAGACATATCTTATTAAAATCTCCCTTATTTTAACGAGATCTTATCTTAACGGAGAAGTTTTTTGCCGCGTTGTCAACTGCGCTCTTTGCACGTTCCGATAGTATTATGAATTGAAGTAAAGCAATGCTGCGTTAAAAGCTATCGGTGCGCAGCTGCCGTTTCGATTTCAAGGACAGCGTGTGCTGCCAATGCGCACCGACTTGACAAACACGCGACACTCCGGTACCTGCGCGGTGCATCGGGCTGTACAACATTTGCCGGCACCGATTTTAACCGAGCGAAAACATTGACTCGAGTGCGCGATAACGTAAGAGGCGACGTTGCGTGTGCCCGTTGGCAGTCGCATCGATTGTCGACGTGATCGAGAGAGCGGCAAGAACATCGCGTTGATGCCATGCGATAGCATCTACGGCAAATGCGTTTGTGATTCAGGCTTGCGAGGAGTGAAGGAGCTTGTAGCTGGATAAGCGCATGCAGCGGGCGGCAAAAGCAGTGCACCTTACCAGGACAGCAGTGAGCGAGCATTCGTCGAGGCCGGAAAATGTGCGTCAATTATACTAGAAGCTCTACCGAGCCCCTACTCGCGACCTTCTTCTTCTTGTATGGGGGTAAACTTGGCCGTTACGGAAAAGAGCCTTGAGCGCGAAAGGAAAGAGGGACGCGTGCGGGCGCATGTATTGCCGCGCCTAGAGAGAGAGAGAGCGGGACGGAGAGGGGGAGCAGGTGCGCGAGGCCAAAAAGCATAACGATCGCTCTTGGCGATCGCGCCCCACGATGGCCGTGATTGCGTTTCCCAGGCTTCGACATTTGTTGGCGGACGAGCGCGCAGTGGCGCATAGATCGCGCCTCATCAGCCGGGTATGCACCGACGATAATCGCCGACGTTGGACGAGGTGTGGCCTGCGCGAGACCCACCGAGAGCTTCCGTCCGCTCGCCAAGTGGAACCTGTACTCGTCGGGTCAGTTGCTTCGAGGACTCGTACGTACGCGCCGCCGCGAGCCGGCAAAAGTGGTCCTTTTGGCACGAGTGATCGGTGCAGAGCCAGCCGATTTCCGGCCCGGAGCGTTGCGGAAAAACGAGTAGACGCGCAGCTATCCACCGACGAAAAGCGGCCAGCCCCGAGCGACCACGCAGCGCCGCCGCAATGCACGGCTGTTATTTGCCCACCTGTCCGCAGCGGCCCACGAGCTGCAGTCTCCGGCCGCGCTTTCCTCCGCTCGAGCCGTCGGCCAAGCGCAGCCTTCGTCGACCCGCGGATCCGCCGGCCTCTGCGCCCGGCCACCTGCGCGCTCTCTCCTGACCTCTCTTGACGGGCCCGAACCGTCCGATTCGCGGCGCCGGCGGTCGAGACAGGCACGGCCGCGCGTGGGCGGGCTGCGATCCGGTGGCCGGGCGCTCGCGAACCACTCGCAACGGTTTTTTTTTCCCCGCGCTGCAGCCAGCTCCGACGAGACGTTGGTCGCGGCGAGATCACGTCTCCTCATACGTGACGCCTAGCCGCGACGACAGTCTGGCAAGAAAGAGACTCGAACAATGGCGTCGGCATCGGCACGTAGGTCGGATCATTGGATTGGAAGGCAAAATAAAGAGGCACAAGGGCTAGGCGGCCGACTAGAAGGCGGCTAGGAGAGCGACTGGGAGAGCGGCTGGGAGCTGGCTGCACCAGGTGTGTCGCTGTAAATATGCAGATGCCAGCTTCAGGGCGCACGTCTTAATGCCATGCGAAGGGGCCATCGGCTCTGCACGATTGTCCGACATTGTATGAAGTGCCTTACACCCGCGAACCCCTTCGCCCCTTCCTCCGTTCACTCGCCAACGATCTCTTCTCCACTTGCTCGCTCTCGAGCCAAGCAGCTCGCTCTAGATACGCACCTATACGACCAAAAGATCGCGGAGTCGTTCCTAATCGTTCAACGCGGACACGCTCACTTCGCTAAATTATCTCAAGCTCGGCACTCGCTCTCGTCGTTATTTACAAGGAACACTCGAGCCTGATTTCATTGCAACTTTCGTGCCCAAGATAAGCGAAACCTTCCCACAGTTCGTGTTTCAGGGGTCTAGAGTGCCACTGTCGTCTGGGAATCGCTGCTTCTCTCTTCAAAAACCATGTATCGCATATCGTTGAATTCGTCCAATTCATGGTTACGCGATCGTCTTTACCACCGTAGCTTAGATTATGTTTTAAAACTTTTGTTCGTGCGCGCAAACTATTGGCTATACACAATACTTATCGATCAAATACCTTCTACGACAGGCTCAACATTTTTGTTAACAATTGCAGCGAACGTAAACTGCTTTGCTTTTCCTTCCAACGATCACGAAAGAAAAATTAAAATAAAATAAATAAATAGTTCCGGAGAAAACCGATAAATTTAATTTTTTTTGGACAATACAGTGTCTAGCTGATATGAAATCAGTTTAAAATAAATGAAATAATTTGAAATATTAGGCTTCGCTAGGCTATCCTACCTCTGAACCAGTAGTGGACACCCCGGACTTGCATCTACCTTACTTAATATCGATACAAATAACGTCATTACGAATTTTTTCGAAAATCACAAATTATTGCTACTCCATATTGTTGCTGAAAATATTCCTTGATTATTACGTGCCTAGTGTGTAATCTCGTTCTCGAACATTTAAGGTAATCCGGCATCACGTCTTTCTCTATATGTAATCAATTTGGTTGCCCTTTCCAGTCTTATTCTAACTAAATCGAATAATTAGCTGCGCCTAATATCTCAATTTCTTTTATTTTTACGTGCTTTTACGTGCTTGTTTGCTACTTCGATGGGCTTCTTTAACGCATAATATAAAAATGTCAATATTGTCTTAATACATAAATATCAGTACGTATAATAAAATATCAGTCATAGCCCGATGCCGGTAATGTATAAGTATATGTTAATTCAACTTACAAATACGCGACTCGAGACGCAGCCTCGATCGGATGAAAGAACTCAGCGGGAATCGATAGTATAATCGTTCCAAAACAATTATGGAAAAACTACGCATCGTTAGTATAGATAGGAAAACCAATTATTTATCCCACGTGATTTCGTTTTAATTAATAAACAAATTGCCGAAGTTGTTGACCCACAGATTTTTGATAATTGTATCTGCGTGGCGTTTAATTGCTGTTTTTACATACATAAACCTACTCAATCGTTAGCAAAAATCATGTGTAGTTTTCCTATCCAATTCACTCGTAGTCCAATCAATAGAGAAAAAGGCCTGTTTCTTGCAAAAATTTGATAATTGATTTTGACAACCTAGGTTCGTTCAGGGCAACGTAAATAGTAAACGTATATACTTTGCAACTCGAGACTTTAGCTGGAAAATTTGTTATAAAGGTTCAAAGTTAGCGAAAACAGGTTTTTTATTCCTGCAAGCTAGGATATGCATTTTAGCGAAAAAAGTGTTGCGTAAAAGTTGTAGAGAATATTAAAAGCTACAATATTACGATCTGTCGCGCGATTATTTTGGTTCATTAGTTATTGCGCAAAGTGCACATAACCCTCGAAAATGGCACTTTTTAACCTATCGAATATTTATTGTAAAAATTACTTTTCAATGTGTATTGCTTTTAATGGGAAGATCTTATGACTTAAAAAAAAATGACTTGTCGCACGATTTGAATGAAATAAAAATATAATTTTAATTGAATTTTTATTATGTTATCGTGTCAAAGCACACAATTGTTTGATGACGTGGTGCATTTTAGAATTTTTAATTTCGCCTATAAATAGTTGTGATTTGATTCAAGCACGTGAAACTGAATATTAGTACAAATGAAAGATAACCGCGCGAAGCGGACTTGTGGATGCTAATAAATCTGTTACGTAATTAGATCAGCGATTAACGATATTAGATTTTTATTTACCAATTAATACCGACGTATGATAAGTGTTTCCAAGCATTAGAATTGATTTATGATTTAGTATATGTATTTTAGATTGTTTTAATTCGCCTGTAATAATTTTGATTAGATTCAAACCGGAAACTGGATATTACTGTATACATATATCAAGAGATGAGCGCGTGTAGCGCGTTTGACGATCTATCTGAAAAACCAGATGGACAATCGATCAGAAACTTTGCATGAATACGTATTTATACATTAACTAAAATGTGTCGAAATATAAAAAAAAATGCAATAAATCCAAGTTATCAATAATTATTGTTTTCATTTGCAAGTATATACGGTTCGATAGGTAAGTTGCTTTCGTAAGTAAAACGGCAAAATGTCGGTTGTACACGAATGTTGGTCAAGGAAACGTTGCTCAACCGAGGATATTCGGCAAATCAATGCAATGTCGTAGAGTCAGCGGCTGCCATAAGTAGACATTTGAAAAAAGTATGAAATGTACGAAATATTAAGGGCGAATGACGAGCGGCGACAAAGACGTGTAATAGTCGGTAAAATGGGTTATTGGGTTATTGTAAAAGTAGGAAAAGTTATATAGAAAAGTTTAATGAAGTTGAAAGCAAGTTGATTGGAGCAAATGGCTGGGCGCGGCCAGGCGAATTACAATAGACTTGAAAAAATGAGTTAAATGACGAGGCTACGGGTTGTTTTGAGAAGCGGGAGCTAGCAACGGTTTCACCGTCACATCCATCACGATGCACGAATGCCGTACACAGACGATTTTATATCAAGGGATCCACGCTGGATCTGCATCGGTGCGTCTGCATTTGCAGCGAGATGTAAGGGAGGGGGGAAGAGAGGCGCAGCAACAGCGCGCCAGAGAAAGAGAGAGAGAGAGAGAGCGAGAGAGAGCGAGAAGAGGAGTCCAAATGTAGCGGACGCGGCGTTTTTGGCACGACAGCTGCTGTGCCGAGCCGAATACCGAATAGCACCCCCGCCCGACGCGGCCACCATCGATCCGCCTCCGCGCTCAACGGTCCTCGTCGCGTCACGGGGCGCGTTTCTTTTTTTGCAATGACGACGCTGCTCGAAAGAGCGACCACTCGTTGCAGCGTGTTTTAAAGGGCGCCAGGCCAGCCGAAGTTAGGGAAATCGAGCCTCGTTGGATTTCCGTTGTAGCCGACCGGCCATAAAACAAGAGCACGGCGTGCACGGCTGCTCCCCCGCGAACAAACGAAAGTTGCGCCGGGCGCGAGCGGCTATTTTCCCCGGATACTTTATGATCCAGCTGTTTTCAATGGCGCCTTGCTCGCGGCTGCGCACTCGCTCCTCGAAGGCTTTTAAATTTCTCGGAAGAGGGACTGGCGCTTACTTTGTCAAGGTTCGCTTCGCACGTCGCAGCTAAGCGCAGCCAGCAATATTTATTGCGAGCGACTGCAAGAGAACGCGCAGGAAGACTCGGACGAGCGCCCGCTCGAAAGCGGCCAACGTTCTGCCGGACAGGAACTTGAAAATACTATTCGTTGAGCAGGTGTGCAAGGCAAACCTACCAGTCGAGCAAATTTAACCACTTACGAGCAACGGACCAATAGAATATACCAATAGAATAGATCAGCAGCTTAGCCAGCTTGGCTGGCATGATTTACAACTGAAATGAGCGATGACGATTTTCAGCGATTTCACCTCTTTTCGTTCGCGCAGCAGTCATCATTACGTGAGAATGCAACCTTTACTTCGAATTGAAGAAAGACTGTTTTTCTATAGTGGTGGCTACTTTTAAGCTGTTATAGACGATTCGTTATGTCTTCACGTGGATGTCATTATAAAAAACATTTTGTTGCTCACTTCTACTCAGTTATCTCGAAATAGCTGGTTTCATTTCACGAGGTTTGATTTGCAATGGCATGGAATGGATGGCCGACAGGATAGTCAAGCGAAAGCGTCACGTTTTAAGCACGGTCAAGCTGAATTTTCGAAACAATTGTAAGTATGTACAGGTACAGGTCGATGTCGAGCGATCTATCGGGAGATGAGACGAGAACCAATAAAGGGTGACGGCATTTTGCGAGCCCGAACAGAGAGACATCGAGCAAGCTGCAGGCCGCGGTGCATTTGGCGGTCACTGTCGCTGCATTTTCATATTTGGGCGGGCGCTCGAGGCTGTAACGGTCGTTCGTAACAGCGTCCTCCAAAGGAAGCCTCACTGCTGCCCGACGGCAGGTGCAGCAGCCTCTCTCTCTCTCTCTCTCTCTCTCTCTCTCTCTCGGTCTGCCAGACTTCATCGAGCGCCTAATAATCCCATCTGCCATGCTGGGCGAGCAACACCTTGCAGCTCTTGCGACAATTTCCGTCACTTTCTTGCCAAACATTCGACTGCATCGAGCGCACTCGACAGAGTTGATTTGTCGACAAGCTCAACGACCATTTTTCTCGATACATCGGAGAAAGGCGAACGTAAGAATGGAGCCTGTCGAGCTCAAGTTTTCTCGGTACAAAGAACGGTGCATGGCTGCGCTCTGCTTGGCGCTCGTCTCTTCGCCAAAGTTGCGTTCTTTTTTCACGTCGACTCGTCGTGTCTCGATCTCGCAGCCGGCCAACCTGTCGACGCTCGACAGACGGATTCGAGTAGGCGCGAGGATCCAATGGACGGGGGGAGGTGCGCCGACAGCTTGGCACACTGGCTGTCGTGCGTAGGTCGAGGGAGCTCATTAGCCGGGGACAGGGACGCTCGAGGTTTGGTTGGGCACAAAGGCTCGAACAAGTTCCCACAGGCTCTGGGGCACGCATCTCGCGCCAGAGCAGCTGGCTGCAGCCTATTTGCGCGCGAGCGCAGGACGTGCTCCCGTGGTAGATAACTCGCACGATAGCCTACCCACGCGCCCCGACAGATCTTTAAACGTTAAAGGGACGCGCTTTCGGCTGACGAGTAACGACTGCCCTGCAATTTCAGATGGCGCGCACGTACCTCGCAGACATGCCTCCATCGAGTTGGTTTTGCTTTTATAGCGCCGTTGCCGCGTTCGCGTATGAACGAAAGTGCATCGCCGCTGGATTGAGAGCTACACATAAGCAATACTCGCTCGTATCAAGGCTGCTTCCATTCTCGAAACGCTCTCCGCAGCTGCTTTCAGATCCCATGGCTTAGCTCCAGCTCTCGCAGTCAAATCGAGAGACGTGAAATAGGCTGTGGAGAGCGTTTTGAGAATTGGCCTAGCCATGCTCGTATGTTGGCTTCGATTATGTCACTGTCGAATGCTAACAAATACTTAGCCTCTCTTTTCCTTCCTTATACCGACTGAGACGAAACTACAAAGGACTTTCTATATATGGCTATTCCAGCTGTTCGCAAAATAATTTTTTTTCTTTTTCTTACGTATACATTCTTTATTCACTGTTTTCATCATCAAAGTTTTTAATACCTGTATTATTTTTCACTATTAATAGGTTTTTTAATTGTTCTCCTCTATGAATGGCCTGTTCTTTAAATTTAAACCATAACTTATAAGCAAAATTATTTACATTATCACATAAGTTGACAAACTTTCACTTATTTACATTTTCTGGTGGTCAACTAGCATAATATATCTAGTAATTAGTATTATTGGTTGCAAGTTCAATACAAAATAATCTTTGTTATCAAAACAATGTTTAGATTGACATAATGTACATTGAATTTATGATTATTTTATTCTTTTCCAAAAGTCAAATCTTAGAGATTTTTAGTTATTCAATGAATTCAAATTGATTTCATTGGAAAGTAAATTTATACAATTTCATTAAAGATAAATGCCTGCTACTTAAATCATCAATCGTTGATGCGTCAACAGGGATACATCAAGCTGTACTTCTGGTTGTAGTAGTTCATGGACCTTATATTTGATTGACTCTTCATATGCATAAGTAACAGAAGTATCTGACAAAAGAATATTGCTTTTTGCCAGACCCAAGATACAGTTTCGCAACCTTGCACATACCTCTCTATTTTCTTGATTTACTCTGGATAAATCTTGGGTGAAACCACCTTCTGATCGGTCAGTATCTGCAACATTTGCTCCAATCCACACATAACCATTATTTCCCAAAATTAAACAAGCTCCATTTGTAAGATTGTGGAAATGTGTTTTCTGTCTTTTGATCAGAGCTGGAGATACTTTTAACATGATTCCTTGTGACAATTTTCCATATTTTAAGACTCTAGTGTGCAATGAAAGGGAACCATCTGCAAATATACTTTGAACTTCAGCACATATCAAATCTCCTTCCTGCAGATATCGCCTCATTGCTTGTTCATCTTCAACGGAACGTCTCCTCTGAAATAATTATTTAATTAATTGCAAACTACTAAGAAACTTTATATACTTTACAAAAATAAAGAAAAAATATAACATTTTTTTATGACTCATATCGAATATTGTATATTATAACATAGGATTTTGCAATCTTTAATAATTTTCATAATCAAGGAATACAAGATAATTACCAGCTCTCCTCCGGGTAAGTTAACACTGGACAATAAAAGAGCAGAATCTAGTTTAGCATTAGTATCTACTTTCCAACGTTTCTGTTGAACTTCTGTAATTCTTCCGATAACAACATCACCAATTTCTCCTTGATATCGAGTTTTGTAAGGTCTGATTGATATCAATTTATTGACTCTTTCTAATCGCCCAGCTACTGATGCTCGTAAAACTTCTTGTTCGTCAACAAAGGTACCATGGCCTCTAGAAGATTATTAGACATTGTTGTTATGAGATCAGTATATTTATCTAGTAAATATATATGTGTACCTTAGAAAGTCTGGCTGTGTGGAAATTTCTTCCCCTGGTGTAAAAAGTATTAGTTGAGGATCTTGATTAGAAGGAAGATTTTGGTCAATACGATTGACAGCTAATCGCACAGTGACGTTAGATTGAGTTTTTTCATTCGCAAAATCCATTGTTGGTGTAATGTTACAAAACTATCATAGCAACAAAACACTTATAAAGCTGCCTACTTCCTCGTGTGTCATCCACGTAGAACATAACCCCTATTTGATGTTATGGTTTACGATCTTCGTTGCAATCTTACGATGGTGGATCGACAGTCGTACCATACCTGCAGTTATTGCGTACACTGCTTATTCAAAATAGTTCAGATAGTTTTCATTAAAATTTCAACAAGTCTATATCGTTATTTATGTATTGGTAATTTATGGTTAAGATAATAACATTTTAACAAGAATTAAAGGTTCGGCGATGTACAATTTGATCATGTCTCTTTAAAATAGTCTGTAGTAATTTCTCTCTAATAGTAAACATTTGACACTAAGATGACTAAGGAAATATTCTTGGGATATTTTTTTTCCGTATGATATTGTCGAAGAATAGCGGAAGTAAGGGAATCATAGTAGTACATTATGGTACGAGTGCGGGAAAGTAGACTCTTGTCTCGTGTGGCGTTTACGCTTGAGCGAAGCGAAGGTGGGAAGGTATACGAGACGAGAATAGTACATTACGATACAAGTGCGGGAAAGTAGATTCTGGTCTCGTGTAGCGTTTACACCCGAGCGAAGCGAGGGTGGAAGGGGACACGAGACGAGAAACTCTTTCCCGAACATGTGCCGTACAGTATTTTTTGATACGACGTGTGGAAAGTGTGATTTTCAACACAGGTTTTCTGTCGAGCGTACGGGAAAGACGTATTTGCGCACGGAGTATCGAAAAAGTATATATTCTTAGGTCAATTATACTGGAGTCTATATTGTAAGCAACGTTTCAAGCACTCTCTCTCTCTCTCTCTTCTTCTTCAAATCTTGATTTTATCTTGGTGGATCATATATGTTTGGATGGCGGTAAAAAATGAATGAATTTTTTGGAGTAAAACTTTTTTTCTTCTTACTTTCCGCACCAAATTACACTTGGAAGGGCAGAAAGGAAAAGAAAATAAAAGGAAAAAAGGAAAGATAGAGAAATGGCGTAAAGGTATTAGAATAAGGATAATGGAGAATAAATATAAGGAGATGGGATAGCCTATAACAAAAAAATCAAATGGTTAATGAACAAAACTGTAAAAAGTTAAATATAAGTTTGCAACATTTATTATTAGGATCTTTTAAAAAACTTTCAATGGAACAAGGTTGAGTAATTTAAATTTTTTCAAGACATTTCAATAACATCTTTCTTTAATTGATGAGTCTAAGACAATTTCATATAATATGATTGGTACCTTCATTTTTAAAAAGGATAATGAGGGCATTTACTGCATTTAACGATGTTTTTGTCTATACATGCTGAATACAAGCGAATAATGATTCGATCTGAGACGATTAATGGTGACAATATAATTTCTTTGAAAATTAGTTATTAAACCAAGGTGTTAGTTTGTCAGTTTTTGATACATGTATTATAAAAGGAGAAAACATTATAACAGAAAAATGTTTGAATCTAACATCTTGTATAGGATAGAAATCAGTATTCTCACTACCAACAGTCAAAGAGCTTACAGCAGAGGAATCGCTTATTTCAATGAAAGACGATTGGAATCGTCAATTATAAAATCAGTCGATAAAGCAGAATTACTAGATTTTTTCATTTGTTCACTATTTTCAAGCATCACATCATTATCCGCCATTGTTATTTCTGAATCTGAAATAGCCCTATTATCCAAAATTTTCTTTTTATTAATCAAAGCTTCATTTTCAGTATCACAGTCTAAAGACATTTTATTACTATTACTTTTAAACAAATCACCCGAATAAATAAGATCACTCAACAAGTTTTCATCATTATTTGAAATGCCTAGCATGCCTCCTCAGTGACAGACATGCTAGTTTAAAATAAAAGATAAAATGAATGAATAAAATAATAGCAATAGAAAAGAATAGAATAAAGAATAGAAAAAAAGAGATAGAAGAAAAGAATCCTTCCAAACTTCTAACAAGAATAATTAATGAATTAATCGTGCAAATTTACGGAGCACCAATTTTAAGCAGCCATCTCGTTTCTTTGCCATCTCGTTTGCCAAGCAGTTTCTCGCTTCTTTTATTACTTTCTCTATCGCTCTCTCTCTCTCTCTCTCTCTCTCTCTCTTAATACTTTTCTTTTTGTAAGCGAGGAGGAGAAATCTTTTAAAGACGCCTAATAGTGTGAAGTTGGGTAGTTTTTAATTCATTCCGATGTTCTGGAATGCTTACCCCTCCTCGAGGTTATAAACCCAGAGGTTCTAAACCTTGAGAAGAAGAAGAGATGTAGAAATTAGGACCCCACGGTAGGGTGCTGTACGCTAAATGGTGAAACTATGATCGTCAAGGGATGAGGGCGTGGGATTAAGGAAAAAGGTTTTAGGACTTTGTCCTTCGATTTGTTTTCGCATTCCGCTAGGCAATTGATGTAAGAATTAGGGTGGGGATTTAATAGATTTTCGGAGTTCAGTGGTGTTAAGGGTAGCGGCCATTAAGAGGCAGGGGAGGCCGGTTTCTTTTAGGACTTGAGCATTTCTGATATACCAGGCGATTTTTTAAGTATTGTAGAGAGTATGCATGTAGGTTCCGTTTAGTTTTTTAAGGGAGGAGGAAGTTCCCCATACTGGTATCGCGTAGATGCTGATGCTTTAAATGATAGCATTGAAGGCACGAATTTTTGTTCATTGTGAGATAGATTTATTGTTAAAGAAAAATTTGAGGGAAGAAAAAGCACCATGTGTTTTGTTATATATGGACGAAAGATCGGATAGGGTTGTTCAATATCTAACTTTAAACGTTCTGTCAGAGAGATAGGAATGGATGGTGCTGATAAGATATTGGAAGCAACTTAGTTCCATGAGTTTGAAGACCAGCCCGTCGTGCCAGATTTTATCGAAGGCTTGTTTGGCATCAAGGAACATCATGGAGGTACGCTGTCTTTTGTTACTGTTTTGGGCGACGAATTCTGCTACACAATACTTCATGCCACTATTTACTGTTGTAGCAGATTCTATGGTAATGGCGGCAACCATGTTGAAATTCTGAGAGGATGTTTTTCTCGGCTATAAAGTAGATAAGATGGGTGAGGAGGATATTTTCAGCCACTTTGCTCATGGTGCAGAGGAGACTGATTGGACGATAGATGGATGCGAGATTTAAGGATCTGTCGGCTTTCGGGGGACATATATTATATATAATGATGGTCTCCTTCCAGATCGGTGGGAAGTTAGGTAGCCGCATTATCGCGTTGACGATGTTGCAGATAGCTACTATGTGAATGAGGAGGAGTAATTTTAGTACTCGGTTGGGGATATCGTTAATACCGGGGGTTTTGTTATTTTTGAGGGCTTTAATGGAGTCTGTTATTTCTTTGAGTGTTGTGGGGGGGGGGGGGGGGTCTGTGACAGTGGAGAGGAAGGCACTGATAGAATCCATTACGTCATCGTCGAAATAGAACTTACCTATGTGTCTCTCAGGTGAGGAAGGGGTACCATTGGTTTTCGAAAGATTCAGCAAAGATTTTGGCTTTGCCTATATCTGCCGAAAAGGAAGAGCCATTAGACGAGAAAGGGTTAGGGGAGTATAGTTTGCGGTTCCGAAGGAATTTGATAACCTTCCAGCATCGTTTAGAATTTTGTTCCGCTTTCGATATATAATTTAAGAACTCAGAGTCGCGGAGTGATTTTAAGGCTTCTCTGAGCTCTTGTTTCAGGGCGTTTAGTATGAGACGAAGTGAGTTTCGCCAGATAATGCTGTATTATTAATAACGATGATAAATTGCTTCCATTAAACACAAATTTATACATAAAGTAATATTTTTTACGAGAAAAGATCATCAAATTTTAGCTCTTAAAATAATAATAAATAAAAGTAATAGAATATTTATCAACAATTAAAAAAAATGCGCGGAAACCTTATGAAATTCATGTATAATTTATATAAAATTTGTGCTAAATTCATACAAAATTCATCTGAAATGGGCATGCTAATTTTTGGACTATTCGAATATATAATTCATATAAATTTTATATAAATTTTGCATGAATTTCATATTAAAAATTGATATAAAGTCGAAAGTGGTGCTGTCGGCCGACCAGTGGGTAATCGAGCAACAGGGTGCTTCATTTCTGAGGCAATCGAAGAAACGACAGCGATAAGCCTATTTTACCTATACTTTCTCGTCTTTGATTTCGTTTGAAATGCTGAGCGTAACGCTCATCGCCAATAAAATGCAGGCTGCACTGACAGATGAAACTTGCCGATGGAAGAAAAGTGAATGTGAGTGCGTCATTCGTGTAAATTGTCGTCGCTTCCAAGTGAGCGTGTTCCAGTAAGTTGACGGCTTTCAGCGGTGGACTTTGCGAGAGCTGACCTCCTCGATAATCGCAAGATCGACGCTGTCTCGTGGATGAGCCTCGGCATTTCAGTTGAATCGCGCTTCGAAAGACGTCCCCCGTGTAAGAAAGTCAAAACGGCCCAACATTGGCACAGCAACGTTAACCAAGACTGCCGGTACAGGCCGCCAGTGCTGGTCCAACGTCATCCGGGTAACGAAATGATAAGAATGGGCCAAGGTTATATTTTCAGTAGTGAGCCATTGCCGACGCATTGACCATGGTTCAGTACTGGTAACGCAATATTTGTTGTCATTGTCGGACAAGCACACTATCAAGCTAATAAATAAGAACGCATTTTTTAGCGTCAACGTTTTCTTTATTTATTATTGAATTATTTTACATACTACATACTCATGTAACTATTTATTTAAAATTTAATTGCTAACTTTTACAAGATAAGTATGACGAGTAACAAATTAGGTAACAACAATATTTATACAACATTTATGTTAATACTAAGAGGTCAAACTTAACGAACAATAGTATGTGCACTCAACCTAATTAAAGTAAACACATAGATAAAAAAATGTCAATTATCTTATAAAATTTACCTCGAGTATCGATCATTACGTTTTTGGGATAAGTCAAGCGCATCAAGTTTTTTTATAAAAATATTGCCATTGTCGCTATAGCTGGTGCTCGACGATGAACAGAGAATTTTCCTTTTCAAGGATCTTGATTTTTTGAGATATGAATAACTGTTCAGCATTGCGTGGTATAATGAAAGCTACTCGGAAAACACGATACTTATCATATATTTTAGGTTAAAATGTTATTATTAATATTCTTTATAAACATGCGCATCATGATTAACGATTAGTATTGGGCCAGCGCCGGAAAACAAAAAATATTAAAATCGTTCAAAAATAGATTATTGGTACAGTATTGGCTGCCGGTGCTCGGACCATTCTTATCAATTCAATGTTGGCTCAAAGCCGGTCCAGTGCTTGACAAAACTAAGTTCGGTTGCCAGTGCTCCAACAATATTGGGCCGTTTTTGCAGTCATGGCAATTCTTACACGGGCCGCTTTCTGCCAGCCGCTCGCAGCTCTCGCTAGGGAAGCCTGGCTTCGCTCCATTCTTCATTCCACTCTTCATCCGAGCTACCACGTAGCGATCTGAATTTTCATTTGTAGAGCTTACTGCGTGGCTCTCGTGCCATTAATCGATGAACGTATATCGATTGAGCGTCAGTGCGTGACAAAAACAACGCTGCAATCGCTTGTACTCGTTCATTCTCATGGCGTTCGGAAAACATGCTTCACTGGGCCAACAGTGAGCAGTGGATGTTGACGACCAAAGGGGATGAATGAAGGTCTCTTATCTATAGGAAAGAAACAGCCAAATTGTAGCCAAATGTGAGAGGCAATTTGACAACGAGACCAGCACATAGAATTTTGCCAGTAAATTGTTACTTGACTGCCGTGGTGGAAAATTGATCGCAAAACGACTGTTCAAGGCCTTAACAAGAATGTACTGTTTATTGGCGTTACCTGCTTGGTAGGCCGACTGTAAAGTAAAACGACACAGAACTGGACAGAGAAATGCTAATGCTAATTACACTTGAATGTCAAGTCGTCGAGCGGGAATCAAGATCGCGTGCAAATATAATAGAGTCGGAATTAAAGGCTCGTGACAAAAGCTGCGCTTCTGTTGATTGTTCTTTTGAGTGGCCAGTATTTGTCGGCAGCGAGAGCAAGCATTGGGTGACTGTAAAGCGCAGGCTGAATCGATGCTTATAGCCTTGTAATGAGTATCAGTGCGAAAGCGTTGGCCACGGCAACTACGTATATCGAAGCGGCCGGAGAATCGAAAGGGGCGCAGCACTGGGCGAGCGGAACGTCGGATGGCACCAGTGACCAGTGGCACGGCCACGCTGGCCACGATTGCGAATTGCAATCACAAATGACAACAAGCAATCGAGCGCGAGCGTCACTCGGTGGACGCTGTCGCGAGTTGACCAGGCGGCTGACGGGTTCACCGCGGTTGACTGGCCCACTCGGCGATTCTCGCACAGGCGCCCGATCGCGTGCACGTTTCATTTATACCGACTGTCACTCGCTGATGCAATGGCTGTAGGCTTTTATTATTCCGCGCGCGGCCGAGTTAACGGGGCCACGTTCGGCTGCTTTTGCTCGCAAACTAACTGGCGCATCAAAGTACAGGCGTGCAATAAGCTGCCTGTACTTTGCGATGCGCGGGCCTCGCACGTCGCACGTCCGTCCGTTCAGCCATTCTAGACTAGGCCTGCGCGCCGAGGCTTGTTAGTCAATTCTTCCCGGAGGCGAACGTACAATGGACAGTTAAAAGCGAGCAAACGCCGCTATTCACCTTTGACAGTAGGCATCATTTGCAATTTAACAGCCAGGTCAATGATCATCTCGACAGACGATCGCATCACGATCGAGCCGCCGATTGTTCTTCACCTTGCGCGCGCACTTCCAGTACTTGTATTTTCGAGTGATTGCAATTCCGAGCACGCAGAGCAGAGTAAAGTTGTATGTCATTTGCTACACAACGTACATTTATAAGATCTGCCACCTCGGCTGGTGTCAACGCTCAGTATCACGTAGGTATTTGCTGCTACAATAGCGTGCGAAGATCTGAGTGCTAAGAACAAAATGCCTAGTTGTTCCAATGTGCAATTGATCGGCGACGTCCGTACGCCTTGCAAGTTCAGCCGAGCCTACCGCTTCATTTGGTGAATCGGCAGATCGAGCAATTAACCCTCCGGTTGGCTTGGCGCACATCCACCCACCTTATGCTGATTTCGCTAAAGCGCGCGCCAAATAAATTAGCTAGGCCTACTTACGATTCCTTTCCTCGAATACACTTTGCTGAACAGACGTTTCTTTCACTCGACAGCGTCCACTTTTTTCACCGAATCAGCTGCTTTTTCATTAAACCCGAACCCAATCCACTACCTCTCGCTCATATTGAATTATACCACCCCACGTCATTCGAATCTTATCATATCCATATTTAATGCAGATATAACAGTTCAATAAATAACATTCATGTTCAATACGGCCGTGTGATTGTGCAGCAGCTAATATAAATTATTGTACCTAGTTCCTACGAAATTTCATTGAAATATATACAAATACATACGCATATTCGCGTACGTACTTATTCCTAAAGCATTACATACACAAAAACATGTACCTACTATATACCGATTGTCACGTCTATGTAGGGCCGTTGTCATTAATCGAATGAACAGTACAGAAGAGTTGCCATGAACGTTATTTATTGAGTCACTGAGGTTCTTTAGTATTTAGTCATGTGATTATAGATTATAATTTATAAAGTTAAGTCTTTTATAATTATTCTATTTATTTCACGCACGGGACTCGGGGGCTTGTTAAATTTTGTACAAATTCTGTACAGTATTTGTTTAACATTAATTTTCTTTGGAGGAAACTTACCAATAACTTTAATGAGTTGAAACTTGAACGAAATTTAAATGAAAAATGTACACGCTCAATGACAACATCACGTTTATTGTATTATTCAATTTTCTTTTTTATTCAAAAAGTTTTATATTTTCAACTTTTTGCTAATGTATACGCACAAATCATTATCATGATACACGTGTATACTGTACATGTTTCCCCATGTGTAATATTTGGTATTTCAGTTTGTTAAGCATATACTTTCATTATATAGATCGCGTATGTTGTCTTTGAGTATCATATTATCGTCCGTATATCCATGTGCGAGTAAGTCCTTGTATCGTAGATCAGATCTCATCGTGGAATCAGTTCGGCTAATATAGATAATAATATAATGATGACGAATATCATCTGCCACAATGATTAATAAAAATTACAATCTTGGTTTTTATAAATATTTCTATTAATTGTTTTGATTAATCGTTTATCATTGTCCTGTACGTACAGGACGCAGTAAATCCCTCCACAATTTTATTCTAAAAGATAGATATCTTCGGAGCCTGTAGCATTTATCGTTACAATAGTACCATCAGCACTTTCCGACCCCTCACCCTCGAATTGTGGCAAATTCACAAACAATAATCTTCTTGATGATCCGACCTAAACTTACAATCATACTAGAAACCATCATTTTGCAGAATAACGTAACTTCCTTTTGGTAAGGAAAGTCACATTTCCTTGTCGAATGAAGTATTTTTACATATCCGTTCAAATACCGATGATGAAAACAAAATCATAGGGCATTGTTTTTCTCAGTACAGCGTTCGTTTCTTTTGTTTTACCACGTGGAAATCAAAATTCAAAATGGCGGTTTGTTTTCTTTTGTTGAAGTATACTATATGACTTGTTAGTCTTACACGCTCTCCATATATGTACCGTTCACTCATAGTGGCACTTGTTGAATTTAATTATGATGCGGGCGAGCTTCTCTACAATATAATGAGTCATGATGGAATCCGTGTTTGAATTTTCGACAATTGTATCTGGTATCAAAAGAAGTGTATTGGAAACACCAGAAAAAGGAGAATTACAAACATTTTCATAATCTCCAGTATTTAGCGCAAGGCCTGAAATAACAATAACCATTCTTGTTATATCAAGTGAAAATAAACACGCGTTTTCTACATTTGAATATATATGAAAGATCCCTCTAATTACTCTGCAGAATCGAGTCAAAATTTATCAAAGCGATTTGGATAAAATAACTCATTTCTTTACAACATGGAACAAAAAAGTAAAACAAAAGCTCAAATATTTCCTGTAAATGCAATATCGTTTTATGGAAATAATGAGAACAGATTTATTCCTTTAGCACCAAATATATTAGGGACGATAAACAAAAAAATTGATGAAAGCAAATCAAGTCTGTTATATGATTTTCCTAATAAGAGAATTACTAGAAAGCGTAAAGTTGGAGGAATCAACAGTGGCGTAGGTCATGGTATTAAAAAGCTCAAATGCAAAGTTAATTATATAAAGAATGAATCATTAGAAATGGATGAGAATACTGTCACAGCAAAACAATGTGAAACTTTACTGAAGGAGAACGTTGGAGAACTTGAAAATTGTCATAGTGTTGAAGATTATAATCCCAACAAAAAATTTTTTAAGCATAAAAGACCAGCCGTATTGCAAATCACAGTTGGTAAGTTAAAACATGACAAGAATATGAAGCAAGAGAAAATAGTGAAGTATTCCAATGTATTTGGTAGTCTGAATTCAAAAATGCAATTTCATAAGCAACTTAATATTGGACAGCATGCATATTCCAATTTAGAAGCTCGAAACAACTTTTCACATAGTTCAACAATTGTGAACAAAGCATATTTTGACAAATATAAACATCAAGAAAATCCTCAAAAGTTATTGCCTACAATGGAAAATTTAATAAATTCAAGGCATTTTAAATTATCTAATGATCGAGAAACTCGGGCTGAAAATAAAGTTGATGAAGGTATTGATCAAGAGTTTATACTTTACCAGAATTTAGCTATGGATATTAAAAATAATAACTTTAGCAATAACGAAATGATGACTGATGTTGTAATTTATAATCACAAAGACCTGACAAATCAACTGGCTGTTGGAAATAATTTGTTTTTTATAGATAGTTGGATAACTGATGATAGTTCTAAGTCAGTATTAATCAGTTTTTTTAAATTTTGTGTCTATTCAAGTTCTAATTCAAGTTCTAATAACAATAAACATTTAAGCAAATAAATATACTATTTCTTTTATAGAAAAAATAATTTAGAAGAAAAAAACTTGCATGACAGTGGAAAATTGAGATACAGTAGCACCTCACAACAATATGAGAAGGATGTCAAACATAGTAATGTGAGGAAGATCCAATGTCAAAAATGCAAATTTGTCGATGAACTTGGAAATAAAAATGAAGAAATGGCTCATTCTAATAATCATAATAATTTTTGTGATGTACAATTGGAGGTATACTTCATAAAAAATAAAACATCAACTATTGAATTCATTAATTTATAAATTTTAGGAATGGATAAAGGAACATTCAGTGGAAATCAGTACTGGAACTGATAGCATTATCATTATTAAACCTTATGATCCTAAAACTTATAAAGACAAAGTATTTGATTTATTGAGATTTATAAAGACAGAAGCCAGTCTATGTGATTATGATCTCATGGACAATCAGAAGAAAAATGTAATTTAAATTCTTCATTTTTATATGAAAAGAATTGTTTCAAATGAAATTTCTATGATAACTATTTGATTGTACTTTCAGTTCTTTATGTATGTAAGAGAAAAATTAATAATAGGAATTCTAGTTGCTGAGCCATTAGACTATGCATTTAGATTTGAATCAAATTCATCTGCACCATTTCGTGTGTTTTCTGAAACATTTTCAGTGAAATGTGGAATAAATTTAATTTGGGTTTCAAAAAATCATCGTAAACAAGGCATTGCAACAAAAATGGTAGACTGTCTTCGGTAAGCAATTATTTCAAATTTAAAGCTGTCATGATCTCAAAAAGTTTCAAATTTCATTTATTAGCAAATTGATGTTTTAGAAACTGTTTCTTCAATAACTATAGAATGGATGTGAGTGATCTAGCTTTCTCAATACCAACTACAAGTGGTAGGTACTTCATAGAAAAATATGTAAAAAGTTGTGATTTTAACGTTTTCTAGAAAAATTATTTGAGTGATATTCATGCTCAGGTGACTGAGTAAAAATTAGTTGAGAGCAAGCAGTTGATAGTTTAAGTTTTGTTTATTAAAAGAAATATTTTTTTATTTATTTTCCTTTTACATTAAATTACATGTTATTTAATACACTGTGATCAACTAAGCAAAGCTTTAAAAAATATTTCTGCACTGTAATTATAAATTACATTCAAAACCATATGTACATACTTAATTAATGTAATAATTTTTTATTTTACTTATAATAGCACATATTAAATAGTTTGGTAAAATACACATAATTTTTTGCATATCTATCATTACTAGACATTAAGGTTGAATATGTTAAATGTAAAACATATTTAAAGTATCTAGGCATGCTTGTAGAAAAAAGTTGATTTAATTTATTATTTGAAAGGCATTTATTGAAAAAAAACATTGTCAAAGTTTAATATTGTTTGTAAAAGTTGTCAATAATTAATAAATGACTAATAACGGTAAGTGGCTATTGTTTTTCAAGTAAAATTGAATGAAGTACAAATAACTACTTTAATTATATTCATTCTTGATATTACTTATGTCGAAATTTAAGAACAAAAGGGATAAACTGAATATGCTTATCTTCTGAAAGCTTTAGTTTCATTGAAAATGTTATACATTTTTATGATTCTTCATAAACAAGATTAATCTTTAAAAAAAATTGCTTTAAAAATTTGTTGTAATTAATTGCAAAATTAAACATTAATCCCGTGAATAATAATGAAATGGGTCAGTTTCGCTAGCATACCCTTTCAAAGTTGCAGACATACATAAAAGAAGAAAAAAGTTAGGTCTATTATCTAGAAAAGACACGATGAGAAATGTTTAATTATAAGCTACATTTAAAACCTTAAGTCTATATGGTGGATCTGTTTTATGGTGCCTTATTTTCATCATTCCGAGAATGCATTTTTATTATTAAAAGAAAGACCAAAAGTTGAAAGCATTGATCGAAGTTATGGACTTCAGTTGTATTCCTATTATGTTTGCTAATAGAAAGAATGTTTACGCGTATAATGTGCACAAGAAATATATAAAATGCGTAAATGGGCCAGGATTTGGCCAGGTGTTATCTATGAATTCCATGCGCAAGTCGCACATATACATTTCATTGACTACAACAGCTCGTTTCAAAGTAATTGACTGGTGAATGCTCTTAGTTCGTCATTTGGGTGGTTAAAGCAATGAATTGTGTGTAAATATTTTATAATTATAATGTGTATAAGCAAATTTTGAAATATTAAAGAACTGAGTTAAATCTAGAATTCAAATGATATCTAGGTAAAATTATTAATAAAGCTCGACAAAGTTCGAAGTGTTTGGCGAAGCCTAGTTATTTCAATATTCGAATAATTAAAAGTCAGGCATAGAGAAAGTATCTGTTGCAGTTGAGTTCGAGATGGGACAGAAGCGCTTTTCGCACTTTAAGCGATATACACTAAGGTTAATCGGTGCAACTGTCGTTCGATGCGCTTGGACGACTGCCAATTTGGCGATAATTTTGCTCGAAATCGCGAAAGCAGCTTTTCCATGGCGCGCTCAATGCGGCGGCTAGTTGATCGAAGGCTCAATGTTCGTCAGAGCTTATCGTTCGGTCAGAGCTAGGTGTGGAGCTCCATTTGCACTGATTGCTATGCTTCCGAACTTGAATACTTCAATTTGTCGTGCACACGTACAGTTGCGATCATAAGTATGTGGCTAAACTATATTAAAATTACGCAAAATTAGAAGTTTTATGTTTCTGTTTAGAATGATTCATATCCTTTTAAGTTATAAAAAAGTTTTCCATTTTTGCAGTAAAAAACTGAACTTTGTTTTTTGTTTTCTTCGATCCTCAAAAAACACCTAAATTATGGAAAAGGTGCGCATTGACGTCTTCTTTTAAATAAGCACAACTGAATTATATTGATTATTTTTTTCAAGTTGCATTATCTCCTAATCTACGCAGTGTAGCGAAAAATCCCAGAGAAAAAAAATGTTTTATTTTGCACGTAAAATAAGTATTTACTATTAAAATTGAATTTTGAAAAAAAAAATTGTTTTTCGCTTTTTACCATGTAATTTCTATTATTGAATCTTTTTATAAGCGGAAAAACTTAAGTTACTAGTGAAAAAATTATTACTTTAAAATGATATTTATTTAGAAAATTTACATCTTAAAGTGCACAAATAAACTAATTTTTACCACAAATTTTTTTTCTGCATAAGGATGTATTATAAAAGAAAAATATATTACCACTGGATTTAAGCTTCATACATATATTTATACATACATTCGGTTTGTACATTTTTATAAAAAAAATAAATGTTTAATGTTTGACAATATTCAAATGCATATACTGAAAAGTTTCTCGTAATTTTAAGTTAATAAATATTATAAAATACACTATTCTATACAAAAAAGCTTGTGTACTGTCAGAACTAAATAATTGCACGATATGATCTTCAGTCAAATAAATAATAATTTATTGTGAACATTAATCAATGCAAAATCGAAATGAAAATTACTTTGTGTGAAAAACATGTTATAACAAAACTGATTGAATATTTTGTTGACATTCTTTTCGATTTTATCACAGCAACAGATCGATGAGGCATTCATGCGATTAGTTTTTTAATTATTTGTCGATCAATCGTTTTTCATTAGCTTTGTAATCTTTCCCATAAGATGTTTTTATTCGAACAGTTGTCTGCATACATTTTCACTTTTAATATGTGCCACATGTATTCGATCGGACTTAAATCGGAAGAATGAAGCCTTATTGTGGCCTTATTGATCATGCACACTAAATCGGTCCGTCATAAGGAGAATGTCAATATTGCGAATAGAGTAACCAATATACGTTAATTACTTTTGCGATGGGCACGATCTACGCAGAATGTACTACGCAACGTCCAAGCACGCACGACCATCATCGCAATAAGGCCCCTGACTTGGCCATTCAACGGATCTGCATAATCTTAAATTTTGTGCAATTTTAATATAGGCTGACTACGTACTCGAGCATGCAACTGTAGCTATCTGCGAGGCTCGCCGACGCCTCGATTTCGCGTTACAATCGGCTCGAGATAGCTTGCCTCATCCGTTTCGCGTTTCCAGCTGCTCTTCGCCGAGTCGAGTGGCGTACACTCAACGCCATTAGCGAGCTTGTGCACTGTTACGTGGAGACGGAAACCACCTACGCAATACGAGCAGTACGAGCCTACAGCTAATAAAACATTGACGCGGCTTGCAAGACATAAAGCGATGTTCAGCTGCAGCTTTAATTAACGTAAGATAACCGCTGCTGTACGTGTGCGCGACAGTTACGAATGTGACAGATCATCATTTTCAAATTCGCGAATACCTGATAAGAGCTTGAAATTTGACAGCAGCTGAATTGAAGCAGGAGGCGCCATCTGTTGGTAAGCCAAAGAAACTTGATCGAAGGACGAAGAATCGAACATACTCTGCCCGCCAAGCTTAAAATCAAAGTTCAAAGGTGATTTTCGACGGTCGAGGATCGATGGGATGAAATGGTGTTTTCTGTCAATTCGAGGAAGCACAACTTGTACGAGCACTGCATCGACAGCTAGTGAGCAATCACGAATTGCAAGATTAAGATGCAGCGAGCTCTCGAACGGATCTCCGATTCGCTGTGAACGATGCAAGTCTTAGATTGATCGTGGCAGCGCGCTGTAGTCATTCGTATCGACAAGTTGGCTATCCGTGAAGCTGAAGCCATCGCTGAGAATGGGTCGAGCGGTAGGCACGAGTGGAAGTGGCCTAGCGTTGCGTTGCCCCGAGGCGGTCGCTGATGGTGCCATGCTGCAGGACAAGACGACACGAGAGACAGTGCGAGCGAGCAGCAACCGATTACAAGTCTTTCGACAGTCGATTGACGGCGATTGCAACCGTCGTCGAAAGCCCAAAGCCGAAAGCAGGCAGCCGCGCACCCTCGTTCCTCTTGGCAGCTTTGCTCTCGCCAGCGGAAACTTGCATTACTTCACTCGGAAGATCGCTAGGCCGTTATTTGTTTTCACGATAGCACTGGCGATGCCCTCTCTTTATTAGCATCCACTGCATCTTCCATTACAATTTCCGCGAGTTTGCGCTTCGGAAGCCATTGTATTACTATCGTACGAAACATTTACGGGCAAGTCATTCGCTCTGCGGAATCATCTACATTTTCTCGATAACAATGGTATCTATGAGTTTGTGCTTAGGCTGCCCGCCGTAAGTCCTCTTCAATCATTGAACTATGCGCATCCGAGACCATCGGATGCCGGACATCGAGCTGGACGAATCAATGCTGAACTGTTTCGCATTATCAGCTTGTAAAGCCAACACCAGGCACAAAACTTTGACGAGCTAGTGGCAAACAGTCAATCTGGTTTTTATTCTATTCGTGCTCGTCTCACGTCTGATGTGTCTTCTGTAAAACGTGTAAATGTGATTGCGGATAAAGTACTAAATAGAATCAGACGATTTATGCGGTTTAATAAATAATGAATGATGATATTATTTTGTAATAGCTCCACGGTTAATAGTTTCTTTCATACCAATTAATCAAATGCATGGATACGTTATAGAAATTCAATTGTCAAGTTGTATTTTGATAATCCGGAAAGAATTTTGCAGCAATAGACTTTTCATCTGTGTCAAATGTTCCCATATTACTAATTATAAGTTTTCTATAAAATTGTAATAATCTGTCATCGAGAACGGTTCCTATGCGGTTTTTAAATATCAGCACTTAGTGACAAGTGCAAATTGACCATGCGATATTGAGCTAATAATATCAAACACTAACGTGCTACTCGTAACTAATAAAGTATAGGCAACATAACGCACATAGTCTTATAGATTTTTAGTCGAATATTGAAAAGGTTCTTCTTTTGACGAAGAGCAACTCTTTGAGTTACATCGGGTGATTATAATTCATTTTTTTAATGAAAAGCAGCAATTTTTCAAACAAATGCCTATGTATTTGAGAAGTGTGCCGATCAGTGATGCGGTTGACGAGCGATGCGCTGCACTTTTGACAAGCCATTTGGGCTATCGGTGACGACAAAGTACAAATTATTACAACATGACCTAATTGAGGAACTTGAAGCAATTACTGCACAAAAACGAACATTTGGCTTTTCACTTATCGTGGTATTGGCAGTTACGCTGCTAGAAAAAGTTCAATATGTTCAGAAGAACTTATCGTGATCACTCTGATAAAACTTGGGTAA